AAAAAAAAAAAAAAAAAAAAAATTTGTTCACAGACTCTGCAGAACTGTTCTTTGTGGTTCTTTTTTATGGTTTTCAAAATGTTTACATTGTGGGCATATTTCATAATCAGCAACAGAGAAAGTAAAACTTCATTTTAGAAATTCTCACCTAAAGCATTTGAAAAATAATCCAAAAGGTACATCACTGTTTATTTTTCTTCCTTCTAGAAAGGATCTTGTTCGAGTAGAAGCCACAGTCATCGAAAAGACAGAATCGTGGCCAAGGATCATTATGAGATTTAGGAAAAGGAAAAACTTCAAGAAGAAGAGAAGTAAGTTCGAGAAAGCACCGAGGGGCCCTGCTGCACGTTGCAGGTTGCCAGGCGCGTGTGGGCGGAGGGCGTGGGTGTGTGGGTCTCGGGACAGGAAGCCAGGCAGGTCTCATTCTGGCTGCCACTGTCCGCTTTCCACCCTCATCTCAGAGGGGGCACCCAGAGGGCCCAGCCTCACTCCCCTTCTCCTTGACCCTCCACACGTGACCCCACTTTGTTCCAACCCATGATGCCTAGCATTGCCCCCAAGGCAGCAGTTAATCCACCAGCAGGCCTGGGGCTGTCCTTGTGGGGCCACACTGAGGACAGTCCCCACAGTGAGCATCCTGAGAGACAGAACGCCATGGGGCACGGGGCCACACAGCTGAGCGGCCGCAGAATTCCGCCCCTCATAGCTCTTGTTACAGCTGCAGTTGCCGGCCTAAAACCACCAACAGTGGGCATAGTTAAATATACCCAGAATACTGGTATTGGCCTTCACCTTACAGTCGGCTGGGTAGGGCAGCCTCTCGTGTACCTACTGACACTTCCAGGTAGCCTCAGGGTAAGTCAGGTGGGGCCATCCTCCCACGCACTCCAGAGGTCGCAGCATAGACTGTGGGAAGAGAGGTGAGGTACCAGCACAGAGCACGCCACAAGGCGTCTGCTGTCCCAGCCTCTGCACCTGCCAACAGTGAGAGAACAGGCTAGCGAGGCAGTCAGCGCACACACACGGCCTGGAGATAAACATGGCCGTGTGCGGCAGGGGGCATTGCAGGGGAGGGCTGTGTGCACAACCCCTGCTGTAACTGATGGCAGCAGAGTCTGTGGTCAAGCCCATGACATCTTTTCTTTCAGTCGTTGTGACCCCGCAGACCGTCCTCCGGATAAACAGCATTGAGATTGCTCCATGTTTGTCGTGATCACTGAGTTAATATTTACAAAGGTATAGAAATAAACTCTTGCTTGCCAAGGAGACTGAGTTTCTGTGTTCTGGTTTACAGCGTGCGTGCCTGCTGTGGATAGTTTAACTGAAGCAGCATGTCTGTAAGCACCTGTCCCCCGAGCCAGGGAAAACAGGAACTCGGGGAGAATGACAAGCATGGCCCTCCCAGGGCTGGACAAATAGTATTCCTGGCAGCCCTCCACCCCACGCAGCAGCGGGAGGGCCCAAGGGAATGCGACAGGGTTGCAGCTGGGACTTGGAGCTGATAGCAGGAGGTGCAATCTAGGTTCCACAGGATGGACAAGAACAGCGAATTCCATCTCCGAGTGATCGAAGTGGACCTGTCTCCCTCCCAAGGTGCTTTTGTAAGGCTGGGGTTCAGAGCAGGTGGCCTTGGGTCCCTGCTCCTGGCCCTTCTGCCTCATGAGCACAGCAGGGACCCAAGAGGGCTGGACAGGACAGGAGGAGGGAAGGCTAGGGAGTGGGCACAGCATGTTCTGGGAACTCATGACAACCTTGGGGACAGAGCAGAGGCCCAGCATATTATGAGCTCAGTCTTGGAAGTAGCAGGCAGTCCCAGAGGGCTTGGGCTGCCAGGTTCTATAGGGGTGGGTGAGGCAGGCCGCAGGGCCTGCTGGGAGCTACCCAGGTGAGAAGGGACAGGGTCCCGGAGCCAGAGTGGCACAGGAACCAGCAAAGGGAAGGGCCTGGGCGTGGGGATGAGGAGCTGTCAGATGACTCCAGGCCCTGGTTTGGGTCATTCACAGAGATGGGGCCATCCTCTAAAAGAAGTTAGGGCTTCGAGTGACAGAAACAAACCTGTAATCCTACCGTGCTAAGTATCTTCCCCAGGAGTCCCATGGGGAGTCGCCCTGATATCTGGAGATGAGAAAAACCCTCAGGTGCCCAGCGCCTGGTGGATGCCTGCCCAGCTCCCCTGTCATCTCCTTTGCGTGCAGCAGGGGGCACCAGGCCTGCCAGCCCGGCGGACTGAGCACTCACTCCCAGCCCCGCCTGTCCTCGGCAGCCTGAATTTGGATAAAACCCATTGTCAGGCCTCCCAGGGCTCCGCTGTTGCTTGCAGTGAAGCTGGGGTGGTGGGAGGGACGTGGGGCTGTGGTGTGCTTGCAGCTTAGATGCAGCTGCAGCTGGGAGTAATCAGTTTCTTTTTTTTATTTTTTTATTTTTTTTTTGAGACGGAGTTTCGCTCTTGTTACCCAGGCTGGAGTGCAATGGCCCAATCTCAGCTCACCGTAACCTCCGCCTCCTGGGTTCAGGCAATTCTCCTGCCTCAGCCTCCTGAGTAGCTGGGATTACAGGCACGTGCCACCATGCCCAGCTAATTTTTTGTATTTTTAGTAGAGACGGGGTTTCACCATGTTGACCAGGATGGTCTCGATCTCTTGACCTCGTGATCCACCCGCCTTGGCCTCCCAAAGTGCTGGGATTACAGGCTTGAGCCACCGCACCCGGCCAGGGAGTAATCAGTTTCTAAATGTGGTAGCTTGTGCCGTGCTGTCTCCATCTGAAACTCTGTCTCCAGAAGCATGGGCCTAGTGTTCTTTCCCCTCACCCACCTCCTCTCTGGGTTCCCTCCTGGCCAGCCCAGCAGCGTCTTCTGTGGCCACTGTTCCGTGGGCAGGTTATAGGATGTTTAAGAATCAGTGGCCTGAACTTCCCCTTTTTCCGGCTGGAACCATGGAGGGTGTAGAAAAGAAGAAGGTCCCTGCTGTGCCAGAAACCCTTAAGAAAAAGCGAAGGAATTTCGCAGCGCTGAAGATCAGGCGCCTGAGAAAGAAGTTTGCCCAAAAGATGCTTCGAAAGGCAAGGAGGAAGCTTATCTACGAAAAAGCAAAGCACTATCACAAGGAATATAGGCAGGTGTACAGAGCTGAAATTCAAATGGTGAGGATGGTAAGGAAAGTTGGCAACTTCTGTGTACCTGCAGAACCCAAACTGGCATCTGTCATCAGGATCAGAGGTATCGATGGCGTGAGCCCACAGGTCCGAGAGGTGTTGCAGCTGCTTTGCCTTCGTCAAGTCTTCGATGGAGCCTTGGTGAAGCTCAACAAGGCTTCAATTAACATGCTAAGGGTTGTAGAGCCATATATTACATGGGGGTACCCAAATCTGAAGTCAGTAAATGAACTAATCCACAAACGGGGTCATGGCAAAATAAAAGAGAAGCGAATTGTTTTCACAGATAACGTTCTGACTGCTCAATCTCTTGGAAAATATGGCATCATCTGCATGGAGGATCTGATTCATGAGATCTATCCTGTTGTAAAACGCTTCAAAGAAGCAAATAACTTCCTGTGGCCCTTCAAATTATCTTCTCCATGAGGCAGAATGAAGAAAAAGACTACCCATTTTGTAGAAGGTGGAGATACTGGCAACAGGGATGATCAGATCAACAGGCTTATTAGAGGAATGAACTAAGGCATCTAACATGATTATTTTTCTAAGCTGGCCAGTACCTGCTCTCTATTAAAAAAAAAAAAAAAAAAGAATCACTGCCTATATCATATTCTTTGACATTAACACAGCTCCATTTCTTACTGTGCTTGAAGTACAGAACAGGCTGTGGAGACACCTGCCGTAGTCAGGCAGTTCAGCGTGGTGGCGAGTGGTGTGTATGTATGCGTTCTGGAGAGCTGAGTGTGAACCCCAGACCTGCCACAGTCAGCTGTATGTGGCCTTGAGCGAGTCCCTGTGCCTCAACATTTGACAGATGAGAACAGATCCGCCTGCCTCGGCCTCCCAAACTGCTGGATGACAGGCGTGAGCCACCGCACCCGGCTGACAGCAGGGTCATGAAGAGATGTTTGTAAACCCATGTTCACAGCAGCACTGCTCACAGTGGCCAAAAGGAGGAAGCAACCCACGTGTCTGTCCACAGATGGAAGGATCAATAAGCTGTGGTCTCTTCACACAGTGGAATATCATTCCGCCATCGAAAGGAAGGCAGTTCAGACACAGGCCACAACAGGGATGAACCGTGAAGACATTACACTCAGGGAGAGAACCAGACACAGACAAGAACTATATGCTTCCGCTTACACGAGGTCCCCAGAATAGTCAAATTCCTAGCAACAGAAAGTAGTAAGATGGGGGGTGCCGAGGGCTGGAGGAGGGAGGAGTAGGAAATGAGCGTTTAATGGGGACAGAGTTTTCAGTTTTGCAGGATGAAAAACTTTCTGGAGCTGGATGGCAGTGATGGTTTCACTATAGCGTGCGTGTCTTTAACACCACTGAACTGTGCACTCACAGTGGTTGAAATAGTACATTTTGTGTGTATTTTACCACAATTTAAAATGTGGACTAGGTGGCTGGGCGAGGTGGCTCACGCCTGTAATCCCAGAACTCTGGGAGGTTGAGGCAGGCGGATCACCTAAGGCAGGCAGATCATGAGGTCAGGAGTTCGAGACCAGCCTGACCAACATGGAGAAACCCCGTCTCTACTAAAAATACAAAATTAGCCGGGCATGGTGGCACATGCCTGTAATCCCAGCTACTCAGGAGGCTGAGGCAGGAGAATCGCTTGAACCCAGGAGGCAGAGGTTGCTGAGCTGAGATTGCTCCAT